ATATCTTAAGCCGTCGGTCTCTAAGTAATGGAGAAGCAGTGACTAGCCTTGGTCTGGTCTCGACCCCCCTAAAGGTGCTCACCTTGGCCACCTATGATGGGATGGATGGTGTGATGGCTGTGGCCGGGACTGCCCAGAGGAAGACCCCCAGCTTGCCAGCGTGGGGTAGGTTGGTATTTCCCACCTCCTCGCCACACCCTAGCGGAGGGACCACAGGTTTGGAGCTGGCCAGGGCTGAGCCCCAGTTTGAACCTCAGGTGCGCTGAGCTCTTGCCCTGCTAAGCAGGGCGGCCCGAGACAGCCCAGTACACTCGGGTTCTGACCCACGAGGTCTTTCTCCCTAAGGTCTCACCAGCTGTCGGGTCTACACTGTCACTCAGTGCTCCGGGGTGCTTTGCTTTTTAGCTCTTCTTCATCACAAAAAGCCCACGGGCAGCTCAGGAGTTTTAAATTGTGAACTAACGAAGTCTGAGCTCACTCTTCTGCAGCCACACAGCTCACGAGTGGTGGCTTTAGGGCCACGCCAGGTCGGCCCAGAGCCCCGTTCCTGCCCCTGCACCAGGCAGTCCTCACCCCGGTTTAGGGGAGTGGAGGCTGGAACTTGTACCAGTTGGGGTGGAACCTTCAGCTGGGATTCGGAAGGATTTTTCACAGAGGTGTGGGCAGAGCTTCCGGGGCTGCTGGGGGGAGGGGACGTCAAGGCTGACACCCAGGTGCAAGGCCTGAAGGGGCAAGGGAAGGGGGTGTTGCTGGAGGTGGATGGAGGGCTGAGTGCCACACCCTCCCTCCTCCAGCCCCAGGCTCCTGCAGGCGCCCTCCCCTGCCCAAAGCCATTCTGGAGCCAGAGGGCCAGGCAGCCCGCAGCTACAGCCCTGAGGCCAAGCCCTGGGACACGGAGTGGGCAGAGATGGTGAAAACTGAGGGTGAGGGTGGCCACGGCTGAGCACCATGCAGCCGTCTGGTCTACCTGCTCTGTTTTTGCCAAGGACAGGGCTGATGTGTTCAAGGGCCTGTGGCTAGCGAGCAGTAAAGCAGGCCCAGAGCTTGGGGCTTTGGAGTGCAGGCCTCCGTGTCCACCCCGCCCGGCCGTCCCGCCTCTCCTTCACTCCAGACACCGCCCCTGCCAGGAGGGCCGGGCCCGTGAAGTCACCAGCCCGTGGCTCCCTGGTGTCTGGAGCCCTTTCCAGGCGCTCTGTGTGGCTGCCAAGAGCAGTCTCTGCTCGCCCGCCGGCCTTTTCACGGGGCCTGGCTGCCGCCCGGGAGAATCAGAGGCATTGTTCACCCCCAGAGGCTGACAGCGCTCCCAAACAGAGCCCTTAAGAAGCACAAGAAGGGGGGAAGCCTTCTCAGAAGAAACACAACAGGGGAACCTGTCTGTCCTTTGGCCAGAGCCTCCTCGGGTTACTGTTGCCAGAGCCCAGTCTCGTCTGGGCCCTTGGGACAGGCGCCTGAATGGGGCAGATCCGCCTCCCGCCTCCCGCCCCCGCCCGGGCTCTCTCCTCTTCCCTAGCGAGCTGCTCCTGCTTTGGTATTTCACGCATTTGGCACCAGATGCTTATTGCTTGGTGCTGTAGGGTTTGTTTGTTTTTGTCCCGTGCTCCGAAGGCAGCCTTCGGGGCTGGGCGGCGGGCGGCATCTGGGCTCAAAAGCAGAACGGTGGCTGAAAAAAGTCATTTTCTGAATAGACAGTACGTTCCTGTGATGTAAAATTTGAAAAGATAGGGAAGGGTATATGATGAAAGTCTTCCCTGCCCTGAAGACAGCCGGTGTTTCCAGATCCTTCTAGAGATACTCTAGGCATAACCAGGCAGAATAGAGATACTCCTTTTCCCTCTTCGGAAACGACAGCGGTGTCATTCCGCACAGGTGGCTCTGCAGTTTGCCCGTTCACTTGCTGCCCTGTCTTGGAGATGAGAAGAATGAGGCGGCCCGTCGGGTTCCAGCGGCTGCCTTGCGATGGGCCACGATCAGTGTGGACTCTTCTCCAGGCTCTGCTCTTAAAATCACCATAGTAACCATCCACTCCCACCAAGCGTTTATGCACATTTGTCACGGAAGAAAGCCCCAGCAAGGCAACTGTTGGGTCAGGCAGCGCCAGCGTTCCTAGTTTTGTGGGCGTTGCCAGGAGGCCTCCACGGAGGTGCCTGCTTCCTCTGGGCCTTCGCACATGCCGCCTGGGCGCCTTTAGGCAGAAAGTGCGCTGGGCCGGCGGGTGAGGACACAGGCATGAAGGGCAGGCCCAGCTATGTCCTGAGTGAGCACAGACGGACGTGGCTGAGGGCAAGTTAGAGCCCACTGGGGCCGGCCCCCTTCACACACCAGCACCCCAGGCCCCAGAGGGGTTTGCCTGAGCTGCTGTCAGGGTCCTTAGGACATGGTGGCCCCCGGCCGCATCCTGTTGTGTGCTGCCCATCTGGGCCCGCACGCCCAGGGGAATCAGGGCACGGCCCCAGGGAGGCACCACAGAGGGGCTGTGTGTCCCATGGGGGGCGGGGGCGGCCGGACAGCGTGGACAGAAGCGTTTCCCGCCCGAGTCACACCAGGGGAGCCAGCCTGTTCGAGGTGTGCTGTGGGACCAGGACAGTGTCCCCACGGAGGACTCTGTGGCTGCAAGAAGCATTGTAGGACATGCCACCTTTCCAGCCCCGGGGTCCAAGGCCTGGGCTGTGCCCCCCTCTGCAAACGGATCAGCCCGAGAGGCCTCCTTGCTCTTTTCCCTGCAGAGCCCTGAGAGGCCCTGGGCTGGCCTCCCCGCCTGGCCCGTGTCCCGGTTCCTCACGGGCGCTACGGGCGTCGCTGGGGGCTGTCAGAGCCTTGCAGCTGGTGCCCGCCCAAGGAGGGCCCTCTGCGGCCACCCTGCAGCGGGGCCACCTGTCTCTCCCGAGGAGCCGCTAACCACGCTAGAGTCTTGCCACCCTCCTGCTCCCTCTCCCTCCTGGCCCACCGCAGAGCAGGGCTGGGTTCTTGAGACCTTTGGGGAAAGCCTTTTATTTTTCAGAAGAGATTGGGGGCTTGCTGTTAGGGGCCTTTTTTGTTTCACGTTTTGAGTCCTGTGAAAACAGGATCGATGGAGCTTTAAACTGTTCCTGGGGAGCGTGCCTGGAAAGGGAGAGAAGGTCCACGCCGACCTTCCGGCTCTTTCTCTCCCGGTGCCCTGTTGGCAGCAGGCGCTTGACGACCCCTGCCCTTCAGGACAGCTCGGGGGCCGTAGGACTGCAAGGGATGGGCGGGACCCCGGGCCCAGAGACAGGTGGCAGATCTCATGGAGGGGAGGAGACTTCGGTGTCTCATATTTGGTTTGAGTGCTGAACAGTCTGTGGCTCGCAGACAGCATGCAGGGCAGCTGGACGCGCTGTTCGGGCTCAGGGGTGCACAGTCGGGGCAGGGAGGTTAGGAAGCCGCTCTCCGGGAGGGTGGGGCAGGAGGGGACACACAGTGGAGAGACTGGGTTAGGGGGACACTGGTGTCCTGCTCGGTACTGACCCTTCCTCGCCTAGGCCATAAGTAGCAAGAGGTGGCCCTCGGGCCATGTCTACTGGCGTCTTGGGTTTGACTTGCATAATTCAGAATGTATTTTAGAAATGTATTTACTGACCTGTAAGATGTGAGATGTCAGACCCAAATCCACATTCCACTTCTCTTAGAAAGCAGTCAGCATCTGGTACCATTGTCTCCTCGGGCTGCCATCACAAAGTGCCCTGGGGGTGGCCTAAATCAGCAGAAGTCTATTCTCTCCCCATTCTGGAGGCCACAAGTCCAAAGTCAAGGTGTCAGCAGAGCCAGCTCCCTCTGAGACCTGCCGGCGAGGACTCTTCTTTGCCCCTTGCTGGCCTCGGGGGGCCGCCAGCATCCCTGCATGCCTTGGCTTGGAGATGCGTCCTGCAGTCTCTGCCCCCGTCATTGTCACAGGCCTTCTCCTCTGTGTGTGGGCCTGTTCCTGGCTTTCTCCTCCTCTCGTGAGGGCTCCAGTCCTGGTGGACTAGGGCCCACCCTCATTCAGCAAAACCTCTTCTTAACTTGATTAATCTGCAATGACCCTCTTTCCAGATAAGTCACATTCATAGCTACTGGGGGTTAGAACTTCAGTATGTCTCTCGGGGACAATTGCACCCGTAACAGTTCTGTCACCATCAGCTGGGCACCAGCGGTGGTCGCCTGCCTCGGTCAAGCCCCGACGGGCCAGACGGCCTTTCCCCGCTGGCAGCTTCGCGTCCCCGGCTCCCTGCAATTCTCACTGACGCCGCTCCCCCTCCCCGCTCTCGCCCCCACCTCCTGTTATCCGTCTGGAGTCCCGTTTCCAATGCCACCCTCCCCGAAGTCATCTGTGGCATTTGTCCTCGGTAGCAGGGCCTCACTCCAGGAGCTCACGGCAGTGATGTTCACGTTTCGGCCGTAATGGCACCTGGAGTCTAGGTCTTCAGGCACGCCGCCCTGTGGCTTCTGCAGCACGGACCCGCGTCTCCAGGGCTCGCTGAGAACTTCCCAGAGTCTTGCCTCAGTAAATACGGGACCGTGACGTCGGCTCTTGTCACTGCGCCAGGGACGGGGGGCAGGGGGAGATCGAATGATATTTGACTAAATGGGGGAAACAGCACGTGTGTGTGTACATGTGTATGTGCGCGCGCACATGTGCATGCGTGTGTGCGCATGTGTGTGCGTGTATATGCGCGTGCGTGTGTGTGTGTGTGTGTGTGTGTGTGTGTGTGTGTGTAAAGCATCTCCACCCAGATGGCTTCTCTCAGGGTTCGAGCACCCCGTCCCAACAAAGGGACGCTGCCGCTTGGGTTCCACGACCCCAGCTGGATCGCGAGGGCATTTCTGGACACACAGGATTCCGAGAGACTAGAAACAGGTGTTTAAAGCTTTTCCCCAGCGCTCAGGATTTAATCGTTTAGATTTTGCCCTGTGAGGCGCTGGCCCCGGGCAGCAGGGGAGCCTCGGCCTGCCTCCCGCAGCGACAACATCTAACACCCCGCGCCTTCCTCCTCCTCCCCTCGCAGGCTCCGGCCTCTCTTCGTCTCCGTCGACGCCCACCCAAGTGACCAAGCAGCACACGTTTCCTCTCGAGTCCTACAAGCATGAGCCCGAGCGGCTAGAAAATCGCATCTACGCCTCCCCGTCCCCTCCGGACACGGGCCAGCGGTTCCACCCGTCCTCCTTCCAGAGCCCGGCCAGGCCTCCGCCGGCCTCACCCCCGCACCATGTAAGTGTGGGCCCCGCGCCGGCGGGCGGGCGGGGAGGGAGGGCTGGCCCCGGGCTGGGGCACTTGGACTGCACGCGGCCGCAGCCACCCTGTGCTCTCCTGGCATTTGGGTCCATTTTATCACAAATCACAGGCTGGGGAAAAAATGGCGAGGGTGCGGTGGGCAAATGGAAATCTGGTGGAAAATGGTAACATCCCATGCACGACCAGGAAAAGCTGTTTGTTCCCTCAGCTTCTTCCTAAAAATCATTCATGGAAAGCTTGCTTTTGAACTTACCTTCATTGAGATACCAAAGTAATTAGGCAAAGCAAAAAAAAAAAGTAAAACAAATAGAAATTTTATTCTGGAGTTTCAAGATTGAAAGTCTGACGTCGGGTGATTTGGGACACATGCCCTCTCAGAAAGGGGACAGGGGGACGCAGATGCCTTTGCAGCCTTCAGAGGCCCAGCTGAGCGGGCACAGGGACGGCGGTGCAGGGAGCGGCCTCACCGAGGCACTGAGGCACTCCGCGTCTCAGCAGCAGGGCGCGGCGTGCGGAGACCCCGTCCGTCATCTCGTTCGCACCAGGTACTGCAGGTGCCGGTGTCACTCCTGTGCCCTGCGAGGACATGAGAGCATCACTCACGTCTGCCTCTGTGGTCCTAACTATTTCATCTAGTTGTCGCGTTAGTCTCCTGGGGCTGTCCTAACGAAGTACCACAAACTGGGTGGCTTAATAGAAATTTATCCTCTCAGTTCTGGCGTCTGCAAGCCCAAAATCAGGGCTTGAACAGGGGTGACAGGCCCCTCCAGGGAAGGGCAAGGACCCTTCCTTGCCCCGTGCAGCTCCTGGAAGCCCCGGGCGTTTCTTGACCTGGAGCAGCATCACTCCACTCTCTGCCTGTCTTCACATGCTGTCTTCCTGTGCGTCTGTGTCCAAGTTTCCCTCTTCCCATGCGGACACCACCCGTCATATTGGATGGGGGCCCACCTAATGACCTCAGCTTGACCCGATTACATCTGCAAAGACCCCATTTCCAAGTAAGGCCACGTCCACAGGTACGGGAGTTAGAACTTCAGTATATCTTTTTAGGGGACACAATTCAACCCATAACCGTTGTTGTCCTTTGGGAGGAGATTTGTTTGCCACGCAGAGAACAACGCCATGGTGATCTGGCAACGGGCAGGTGGTCGTTTCAAGTGCATATAAAATTTGCTGCTTTACAGTTGGATTTTGTCGGATCTTTTTCATTTATGCGCTAACTTTTCCTTAGGAACTTGGCTGATTGCATTACTTTTGCTACAGGCATAATCTTCATGGAGGAATGTGAGTTGCTTAAAGACTTCTGACAGCCTGAAAATATTTAGATATAATTTATCTCTGCCTTTTGGAATAAAAAGACACTTTCTGTAAACAGTGACCATGAAGATCATGTTTACAAAATCTGTTCCCATGAATTTTATTCTAAAATTGGAAAGGGGGTGAGGTGATTAATCAGACTCTAGTTGACAGGACTCATTTTATCATTTATTTATTCAGCAAATACTTATTAAGCAACTGCTATGCGCCCCAAACTGTGCTAGCATGGCCGATAGGATGACAAATATGGGACTCGTACTGAGACGGGGACAGTTTGCTTTATGCACTTGGTTAACAGCAGTGTGCATTATGTGTGGGAGGGTTTCAGTAACTGTCTACTAATTTCACAAAAGAAGGAGCTTTTGTGTATTTGAGGGGGCACAGACAGGTAAATCATTGCAATAGAGTATGATAGAACCTGTTTGGTTTTTGTGGGAGGAAACAGCCCATCCCTGTCCTGGTGAGTGAAAGAGCTGATCCCAGAGGAAGTAGAAGTTTCTTTCTGTAGGAAAGAACAACAGCGAGCATCGCATTTGCGGGTGAGCCCCTGGCTGGGTATGGAAGGAATGCTGGGTGTGGGTAGAACGGGAGCCGGGAGAGGACGCAGTGTGAAACAGTCTAGGCCTGGTGGCCGCTGAAGGTGGAAGGAAATGGAATAGTGTTGAAAGTAAAGAGCTATTTTGGAAGTAGAATTGAAAGGAATTGGAGTGATTGATTAGTGGAAGGGGAAAGAGATGAATCAAGGGTGACTCCAAAGGTCTTGCCTTAGCAAAGAGCACGGCTGGTAGCCGCATTTGCTGGGCGGGGAAGAGCAGTAGTGTGTGTGTCAGCTCACGAACGTGTGTGTGTCCCGTAAGTGCACAGGGAACGTTCTAGGGCGGGTGTCCAAAGGGCAATTGGATATGTTAGTGTGGAGCTAGAAATTAGGATTTGAAAACCATCCAACTGTAAATGGTAATCGGAACCATAATAGTAGATGAAATCATCCAAAGAGATGCATGGCAGGTAAAAAGAGAGCCAGAAAAATGTGGGCATCTAAGGAGCAACCAAAGGAGAAGGCTTCTGAATCGCCTGGAAAGTGAGCAGAAACCCGAGCAAACGGTGCCCAGGAGCAGCAGGAATGTGTGTGGCCGCGTTTCCCGTGTTTGGAGGAAGGGGTCGGCTGGCCACGGGACTGAGGTCGTGGTGGCTCTGACAGGAACACTCCAGTGGCGTGGCCAAGAGCAGGAGCCATAGAACGTAGGCTGAATGATTACGGGGTGGAGGTCTCCAGTGTGGATGACCTTATCAAGAACCCTGAAGTGGAGGGAGGAGGGGGCTATAGCTGGAAGAACGGAGGTGGTGCTATATTCCTGTAACAGAGAATGGATTCAAACGCAGATGGGGAAAGAGTGAGTAGAAGGGACAATTACAGACAGAAGAAGAACGTGGCACGCCTGGTCCTGCAGGGGAAGGAGGCAGGAGCAGGCAGTGGAGGTGTTTGTCTTGGACCAACGGAGTCATCTTCCCTTGGGTTGGAAGGACACCGCGCAAAGGTGTTAGAAGGATCAGCGCTTTCCCCATTTCCTTCCACAGCACTTACTCCCGCTCTCCCTTTTCCTTCTAGGAATTTCACTATGCTCCTGTGTCTTGGGTCAGGGTCCCTGGAGGCAGAGCCTGAGGTTGGGTTTGGGGAAAGTGTGTTGGTTTCCTAAGGGAGTGCTCCCGCAGGGAACCTGGGGGTGAGGAGGAGGTTTCCCATGAGATCCAGCCTCCGCCCAAGGACAGGAGAGGAGCTCTGAGGATTGGCTGGCCTGGAGGCAAGGACGCTGGGCTTTTGTAACTTTGTAATAGGCAGCCTGCAGTCAGAGGATTCCCCGGGGTGAGGGAGATGCATCTCCAGCTGAGATGGCTCCTGCCACCCAAGAAAAAGCCTCATAGACAGTGGCAGTTTTAAGCCATTAGCACCAGAGTTAAAAAGAACCCGGGGCATATCCCAGAGTCTGGATTCTCTGTCCCCCTGTCCCCTCACCTAGGTGATCCACGTAACCAGCAGAACCGGCTACAGTCTTAGAGGGTCCAGTGTCACTACGACAGAGTCCCTGAGGCTGGGTAATATATAAAGAAAAAAAAAGGTGTATTTGGCTCATGGATTCTGGTGGCTGGAAAGGTCAGGATGGGGCAGCTGCATCTGTGCAGCCTCATGCTGCTTCCACTCCTGGCAGAAAGCCGAAGGGGAGCAGGCGTGTGCAGAGGGGCGCAGACGTGCACAGAGGGGAGCAGGTGTGTGCAGAGGGGAGCAGGTGTGTGCAGAGGGGGGCAGGCGTGCACAGAGGGGAGCAGGTGTGTGCAAAGGGGCGCAGGCGTGCGCAGAGGGGAGCAGGTGTGTGGAGAGGGGCGCAGGTGTGCACACACAGATCACACAGCTAGAGCAGTAGCAAGAGGGGAGAGCTGAGAAAGCCAGACTCTCAGGAATTAATCCATTCTTGTAAGGGCAAGAACTGAGTCACCCCTGCAGGGGACATTAATCTATTCACAGGGGATCCACCCCCATGACCCAAACCTCCACTAGGCTCCTCCTCCCAACACAGCCAAGTTGAGGATCAAATTTCAGTTTGAGTTTTGGTGGCAATAAACCACAGGCCACCAATAGCAGGTGCTCTGTCAGTTTTTCTGTCACTACATAACAAACCTCCCGGAAACTTACTGACCATTTACTTAACTTACCGTCCTGCGGGTCAGCAGTTTGGCTTGGGCATTCTTCTGGTCTTGGCTGTGCCCACTCGTGCTACATCTGTGGTCACCTACCAGGTCACTTGGGGACTGTCAGGACCAGAGTGGCCTCAGTCTGAACAGCTTGTCTCTGTTCCACGTGGTCCCTACTCCAGCAGGCTGACCCTGACTTATCCACGTGACAGTGATGTGGTTCCGGGAGAGGTGGCGGTCTGTGCAAGGCCCCTTGAGGCCTAGGCTCAGAACCGCGTACCGTGGCCTATCCAGGCTGTTTCCTCTCCCCCAGATCTGGGTTGGCCTTATGACTTTCTCTCTTGCCAAGAAAACGAGGCAGAAGTGACAAAGTCCCATGGCGGGGAGGGAATGGATGCAGGAAGAGGTGGAGAACGGGGCCTATCTCTACCTCTGCTAACACAACCTACCACGTCTTACCACCTGGTTTCTACAGCTGGATCTGCAGTTGAACACATAATGCTCTAGGGTCTAGAGGTTCACGTCTCTAGAGTCAAGGAATCTCATGTAGCTGGTCGACTTCTGCAAGAGTGGTCTTCCTATAAAGTAGACTGTTGCGGTTTACATTGCCCGAGAAAGACTCTAAGAGGAGGGTAGTGTGCAGGCTGTTTATTAAGAAGCGCTCTTAGGATCAGCAACCGCGGGAGAAGGGAAGAAAGCATCGGGCAGAGGGGGAAGCTCTGATGCAAGGCAGTCTCGGCAAAGACCCCAGCCAACCCTCAGCGAGCGCTGAAGCTGGGGAGGCTCATCAGAGCTGTCCCAGGTTGGCACAGCAGGGCCAGGCCTTTACACTCTCGCATGAGCCAGTCAGTAGGTGACAGCTGTCCTGGGAAGGGGCCGACCCTGGGCAAGGCCATGCTCTTCAGCCAAGGGCAGTCCCGGCTGGGTGGAGGGCCGCCGGTCAGCAGTATTCCCATCGGGCACGAGCTTCCGTT